GAGTGCAATGGGCACACATTTGATGACCACATGGATGGACCTCTAAAGTACAGGCCTGTTCGAAGCATATGCAGCATAACTCGACGTCGCACCCCTGTTTGAAAGTTTCGATGAGCAAATAAGAATCAGAATATGTCGAGTTTGAGGAAACTATATCAGTATGTTTCACTCAATGAAAGTCATTGTGAAATCCCACATCGGTCGTGGAGGAGAACGAAACATTCTTTATAAGGGTGTGGAAACGTCTCCCTAGCTTACGCGTTTTAAAAACCTTCGAGGGAAAGGCCAAAGAGGACAATATCTGTTAGTGGTGGGCTTGAATTGTTACAAATGGTATCAGAGCCAGACATCGGGCAATGTGTCAGCGAGGAGACTAAGCCTCGAAAGGGGGTGAACACGAGGCGGTGTGCCAGCAAAGACGCTGGGCCCTGAAGAGGGGTAGATTCGAGGTCTCACACCAATTGGAGAAGGGAACGAGTGCCAGCAAGGACACTAGCCCTGAAGGAGGGTGGATTGTGAGATCCCGTATCAGATGGGGAGGAGAACGAAACATTCTTTATAAAGGCGTGGACATATCTCCCTAACAGACGCGTTTTAAAAACCATGAGAGAAAACCCGAAAGGGAAATAATCCCAAAGAAGACAATATCTTCTAGCGGTGGGATCTTAAATGATATTACCTCAAAAGCATGAAAGTTCGAGCGGAAAAACCGTTATTACCTCAGATTCTGCATCATCCAACTCAACATCGGATTGTAACGGAGACGGAGATGAGTAGGAACTCTCCTTCAATATGGCCTTCTCCCTCTCCATGTTTGCTTCCACTAAGGCCCTCTCTAGCAGAGCTTTTGCCTCTTCATTTAGCTCATTGATGAATTTAAATTTTGATGGCCAAACAAGAGGCTCTGCTGCTGAAGGATTCAGTAACGCTGCACACGCTCGATTCTTTCGTTTCATAGCGATCGAGTAAGGTATTCTCCTACAAACATGTAATAACAAGTTCGAGCAATTAAGATCGAGTATTCATAATCATATTTGATCTACAAGTTCATGATTCATATAACATGCTAGAGCTTACCCAGCTGAATCCACTTGTAATCTTTCAGCTCCCCACGCAAGCAATTCTCGAACGCATTCTAACGAACCACTTCGAGCAGCTAGATGAAGAGGCGAACTCCCAGGATAGCTGCAAATTGTAATGAAAGATCAGCTCATCAGCTCATACAAACAAAATCAATATCACAATCAGCTTAATATCTACCCATAAGCACAAGTTGAAGCACAAACAAGAGCCCCATTCGCCAAAAGTATCCGAATGCACTGTGGCTGTCGTTGTCGTGCAGCTAAATGCAACGGAGTAGCACCTCCTCCGTCTCGAATATTCACATATCTAATAAACCCCCTGCCGACGACATCCAATTCAAAGTAAATAACGCATCAAAACACAAAAAATCAATATCTATGGGGATAAGAACTAACCAAGAAGCTGCAACAGGAGCTGAATGAGCAGCAGAAATTATAGCTTCTAAGCAATCAGAGTGGCCAAAATAAGCAGCATAATGCAGGCAGGTTCGTCGATTTAGAGTATCAAACATCAAAATCTATTGATATCATATGAATAAACACATTGTTATGTAATTGAAACAAGCATACGCCAAGAACATTCAATAAATCATACAAATTAGGACACAAACATTTGCTCCTGCTTCAATCAATCTCTGCACACAAGATATCTTCCCGTTCATCGTAGCCAGCATTAATGGTGTCTAAGTTCATCAAATCCAAATCAAATTAAACCAAAACATGAGATTCAAAGTGCAAACAAAATGGATTAAATGTTCTTAGCGATTAGATGAAATCATTACCTGTTTATTGCGATTCAACACATCAGGATTCACAGACCGATCCAAGAGCATATTAAGAATCTGATAACAAATGCCCAAATAATCATTCACAAATCAAGAAAAGAAGGAACAAAAGAGAAGGAATCAAGACCCACCTCGATCTGACCATAAGCAGCGGCGATGTGAAGAACAGACATTTTAGTACGAGGAGTGGTGAGTTCCAACATAGTTGGATCAGCCTCCAGCATAGCCAGAACGAGCTCCGAATCCCCATTTTGCACAGCTCGGAACAGCCCATTTTCATGGTGTTCGCCGCAGCTCAGCCCTTGACCCATCAGCTCTCCAGGTGGGTTACGCCGTCAGTTCATGGAGAAGTACCCAGCAACTGATTCACGCGCCACCGCCTGCGGAGGCTGACCGGAGTTGGGCTTTGCTGTTGGTAAACGCTGAATGTGAAAGGGGAATTTCTTGTGGAGAAAATCGTGGAGGAGTTGGCCTTCTTCGGCTGCTTGACCTTATTGTGTGAAATTTATGACCATTGGTGTCGGAATCTGACCCATTCCCCAACGAATCCGACTGCCGTGTATTTTTGTAATTTAATTAACAAAAAAAAAAAAGACAAAATTAAAGTTAATTAATTATTAATTTAATCTCAATTTGTTTTTGTTTTTCTCTTTCTTTTTCTAAAGTTTCAAAAGAATTAGGCTGGTTGGTGAAGTTAAGCTTTTACGGTAAGGATTATATATATATATAATAATTGGAATATTTTGATTTTCCACCTACAGATATTTTAGCCACCGTCATGCTTACTCTAATAAACAATTTCTATTATCTATCTCGATCGGGATGAGCTAGCACACTGTCTCACACTCTTATATAGTCAAGTAGTTCGACCATTCTACATCACCAAACATGTCAGTCTTGATACTGCATGATATGTTAATCTCGTCAACCAAGAGAGAGTTAGTTGTCGTCATGCTTACTCTAATGAACAATTTCTATTATCTAGCTCGATCAAGATGAGCTAACACACTGTCTCGCACTCTTATGTAGTCAAGTAGTCGCTGACCATTCCACATCACTAAATATGTTTGTCTCGACACTGCATGATATGTTAGTCTTGTCAACCAAGAGAGTGTTAGCTTAAGATTTAGGTTACAAAAAAATATAGTACTAAGTGACGCTTCTAGAATGCTAAGTTGCAATAAACAAACACTTTTCAGAACATTACGTAACTAACCATGATCAAAAAGTTGGTTAAAACTTAACTAGAAGTGAATGTCGTGTTATACTTTACTTTATACTTACTACACATGAAGCATAGCTAAAACACTTAACGTTTCACAAAACTTTAAACAATATAAGACCAAATATTACTTTATATCGACTTTTAATATCTTATTTATATCGTTTATATACATTTATTTATATCTTCAAAATTACAAAAGTATTCTCGATTATATGAATATATGAATTATAATAATACCTTATTATATTGATCGAAATTTAAGAATAAATTGATACAAAATGCTAATTATCGATAATTTAATAATAAAAATAAAATAAAAAAGAATAATACACTTTTTGGTGGTTGCAAGTAAATATTTGTCAAGTAGAATAGAATAGCAAAGTTGACTCAAAAGTGGGAAAACAATTCAATACTTAAACTTTGAATCCTTAAGGATAAAAGGATTTACAAATATAAACAAGAAAAGAATAACAAGCTTTTACTTTAATATCTTGCTTTTAAATCACGAAAACGAGCTAAATTCGACGATTGAGATTTTTTTCAATCTTGCTTTATCGAGATATTAGTGTTGAGTATGAGAATTTGAATATTTATTCAATCCAAGAATGTGTATCAATTACTGTTGAGTTAGGTTCGCTGCTAAGTATTTGAATTGTAAAATCAACATTATCGCCATATTACTCGACCTAATTATGCATGGAATAAGAAATATGTTTGGAATAGTTAAACTAAATAGATTTTTGGTGTTATTAAGAATTTGGCATAGGATTGCTACAAATCTACTCAATTTTCTAACTTTCTATTCTCTTTTGGGAGAAGTATCCAATTTTATTTCATCATTACACTAACCAGCTTTGATAAATATATTGAATTCAACTCATATTTCTTATAATTAAAAAAATTATAAACTTTATTTAATTAAAAAAATTATATAGATACTTTCCTCTCATCTTTGGAAAACGTGGAAAATCCACTAAAATCTTGGTCGCTCGAGAAGTAGAGATGTCCCCGCCACCTATTTCATTTTTCACTTCGTAAAATTTTTTGTTTATTTTTGTGGAAATCAGAGTCGAAATTTTCCACAGATAATTTGTGTGAATCGGATTCTCGCAGGTAATTTTTCCGTGTATTATTCTCTTAAAAAATAATTATTTTAAACTTTTCATTTTTCAATATAATCTTTATTAAAAAAATCATAATAAATCAATATTATATATATATAATATTCTACCTCCATCCTTTCTAAAAAATTAAAATTTTAATATTATAACATAGTTTAAATATTACCATTATAATCTCAACATTAACTAATTTATTTTTTCAATATATGTGTTGAAATTACGCAGGACAGAAACAGAGTGAGGCAAAGAATTGGACAGAGATGGGATGAAGAATATAATCTCGTCCCCAGTCCCATTTAAAATAGAGAACTCAAAAAAAGAGTCTCACTCGCCATTAGGGGTGTACATCCAACCTGACAATCCTGACCAACCTAACCCAAATTATAAGGGTTGGGTTGGATTAGTCTTTGGGTTGAGTTGGGTTATTTTTTCTGAACCCGAAATGACTCGGTTCGATTTCGGGTTCATAGGATAAAAAACTCAGGTTGACCCAAACCTGAATAAAATTTATAAATTATATTAAGAACTTTGTCGCATGTAAAGGTCTGTTAGAGTGGCAATACGAGTTTACTCGGGTCGGGTTGGGTTACCGATCAACCCCTTAAGGAGGGTGTTATAATTTTTTTTTTTTTTTTTCCTTCAATCAGAATTGAAAAATCTTAACCTAATCTATCTTACAGTTTGGGATTATTATTTCCTCTTTCTCTGCAGCCCAGCCCAAATCACTTTAGGACAGCCCAAGCCCAAAATGAACTGCTCTCCATCTCTCAGCATTAGCAGAACTCCGCGGTGCACACATCTGCACCACTCTTCAAACTTGGAAGCGCCATTGCCAGAACCTTGCACCTTTTCTCTCCGCCTCTCTCACGAAACCGCTCGTTTATGCTGAAACGAGCCCAATTGGTCTTGTGGATCACTCCGATTTCAAGGCTTAAGAGGTTCGATTCGTCTTTATCTCATCAGAATCTGGTGATTAACGGAGTTCTTTCGGCAACTGATTCTGTGGATTGTAACTCATAGTACCTCACTTTCTTGGTCAGTCGCGTTTTGGTCTTCAGAGGTTTGCTTCAACTTTTAATGAGCCCCTCAGAATCTGGTTAATCACGGTGTTATTTCGGTAGCTGATTTTGAGATTTGTAGCTCATATTGCCTCATTTTCTACTGAATTGAACTGTTAAATTTATATTCTAGTATTATCGGAGATTTTTCGGTTTCTTATATACTTCTTTTCTCATGCCGGATTTTGGGGTTTAATTAGTTTCAGGCAACGTTTAATTTATGAGGGTTTTAAAAATTTAGGTCTAGAATGAGCTTAAATGAAATTTAGAGATGTTTTGAGGCATTGATAGTTTTATGGTTTTAGTATTGTTCCATGCCCTTGTTTAACTTTTTTTTTTTTTTTTTTCTATTTAAATAATTCGTCTCAGTGTTTGCTTCTTTGTATTTAGGGCCTTCAAATCTTCGTACATTTGAAACCTTGCATTTGTTGGTGAAGTAACAGGAGAGCAATCATGGATGGTAAGTTGACAATTGTACTCTATCAATAATTAGTGACTGTTCTCTTTGGTAAAGAGTTTGCTAGAGCAACTTCATTTTCTGCTTCTGTTTTCTGAACTTTTGTTTCTGTGTGTGTCTGCTGGGATAGTGCTGAATGCTCATTTTTGTTTACTCCCATAATTCAGTGGCCCGATCTCTTGTCGATTGTTAGATAATGTATTCACTGTTGTAAATGGAATAAAAAGGTAGTATGTAACAAGCCAAGTTCACCGCTAGCCGATATTGTCCTCTTTGAGCTTTCCCTTCCGGGCTTCCCCTCAAGGTTTTAAAACGTGTTCACTAGAGAGAGTTTTCTTCACCCTTATAAGAAATGTTTCGTTCTCCTCTCCAACCGATGTGGGATCTCATAATCCACCCCCCCTTGGGGGCCCAACATCCTCGTTGGCTCACCGCCAGGTGTCTAACCCTGATACCATTTGTAACAACTCAAGCCCACCGCTAGTAGATATTGTCCTCTTTGAGTTTTTCCTTCCAGATCTTCCCTCAAAGTTTTAAAATGCGTCCACTAGGGAGAGATTTCCACACCCTTATGTGGGATCTCACATATTATCTTTCTAAAAATAATAAGGAACACATATGTTGTTGGTTTCAATGTGTTTATTATCCTAGAGAATGTTTCCTTAATTGTGTTGCACAATAACAATCCCATTTGAGAAAGGTTGATTCCGTATGTTGTCCAAGTTTTCTTTTTCCTCCTTCGCCACTGTCAGCCTTGTTCCGATCGGAATCCAGTCACATACAAAAGAAATCCACCAGCAACGGCAGCAGCATGATCAAAACTACTAGCTACATTAAAATTTAAATTTGGAGACTCTTTGTTTGCCTTTAGACATCCAATATGTATTTCTTGAGATGACTTGTGAGACTCATTTGCTGTTTGATTTTGTACATGTTCGAGTGCAAAAGGAAATATTGAACTAAAAAACCATAAGTTTTCATTTTCGATCAAACAATTGCAACCAAGTGATTCAATTTCATGAGCTGCTTTGGGACAATAACTTTTTTGGATTTTAGACTCTTTCAAGTTTTTTAGTTTTCTTAATTTTCCTATGCACGTCTAATTAAATATCCAATCCTCTGTTGTTACTTGCAAAAGTATAAATAGAAGTCAAAAGATTGTTTAACTTGGTAATTGAATTTGTTTGAGCTGAAACAGACTATAGTTGACTAATCTTCACCATTTTGGCTACAGTCGACTCGCAACCAACCATGGAAGAAACCATCTTGGTTGGTGATGATTTAATGATGGGGCCACCATCACCCATCATTCCACCTGAAATTGCATCTCATGTGCTTGAAGGTGTTGAATTATGTGATGGTATATTGAGGAATCTCTTTTTATGTAAGTTTTGTTCTTTATTAGTAATTGTCATTATCTTTTATTAGCTCTTCTTTTAGAATCTGAGCTTGCTTTCCAATTTTTCTTTATAGGCTTGCAAATCAATGATATCGAACCTTTTTGTCAAGATGAAATAGCTGTTTATCGACAGTGTGCCGAAAAACGGGTAACACTAAAACTTATTGAAATTCAAATTTGAGATGCCAGTCTTTTCTTATTTCTAGAATTGTTCAGTTGAGGGCTGCTGGGTGCTGGGAATCCATTAAATTGAATAAACGGCTAGAACTCAGTTCTTATTTCTAGAATTGTGGGAAAACTTTCCATAATCCCTTTGATATTCTTTTGGGTTGATTCCTCATCTCCCATTATATTTTGTTCCCTTGCTTCTTTAATGACACCTTCCTAATTATTTGACTGCATAAATAAATTGTAGGATAGAGAACTAAGACAACGGCTTCAAGATAGCGAAAGAAAATTAGGGTCATCAATGCCTCTAGATGCAGCAAAGGAAAGGGCTACGCAACTCGAATCAGAAGTAACGTCATTGGAGAGGTATGCTAGCACTCTCCAGCAATTACAGTTACCGACCATTATTGTCGATTCTGAATCTTGTGGTAGATTTTATTTCCTCTTGCTGAATTTATACATTAGTTTCGTCAAACTGGTTGATCTTGAGTACGAAATAATTCCCTCTGCGTTTCTTAAAGATTATAAGGTTGATTAGTCTATATCTAGAAATTTTTTCAATGATACCTCGCTACATATCTTTCGGGTCACTATCTCAAGAACAAAGTCGATAATTTTTATGGGTCGACATGGCTATGGATATAGATTGGATGTGGTGATTAGAAACGAACCGTCGTACTTTTGAAGATTGAACCTTGATTGGGATGAGAAATTGAGGATCTTGTTTTGTTCTTGGATGCTAGATGGGTTTCGTTATCAATTCTCTTGCAATTACTCATTTTTCTTGATTCAAGCCAATTCAAGAGGATTTTTTTAAAACTGTCTACAGAAAATTTCACAAGGAGAAATACCTTATCCTTCCTCCTTTTTACCTACTGTTTTGTGAGTTAATAGAATGGATTCTAGTCGAGTTCACGTTTCCCTTATGTAACTCGATTGCAATAGTGTTATGTTTCACGTCCCTAACTTTCACTCATATATCCTTTTGATCTGTAGACGTTTGATTCTTGCTAGTGGAGTTGAGGGCATGGAAGGATTCCGTCAAAGATGGAGTTTACACGGTCGACTCACCGATACCAAGTAATCTTGATCTTCTGTTTCATCACTAAGTGTCGCTTCAGTCAAATTTTTAACAACCAATTAAACCGATTTCAGTAACTCGGTAAGTATCGACATTAACAGTTGTCTTGCATCCATTTTAATGCAGGAAAAGGCTGGAATCTTTAAAGCAAGGAATCGAGATCAGGAGAGACGATAAGCCAGCAGCGGAGAAAACGTCGACTTCCAAAAGATGGTTCTTTTAGTGTAAGTGCTTGATTCAGATACCAGGCTTCTTCCTATTTGGTTCTTAAAGGCTCAATGAACAATGATTCTTCTGAAATGAATACAAACAAGGGGTTGAGTTTTAGGCTCTAATTAGTCTGATATGGCATCGTTTTACAATTTTCTTGGCATAAAAAAAAAATATATATATATATATATATATATATTTAAATTAATGATTTTTAGTTTCAAATTGAGCTATAAATTTAGATATTGGTATTATGCTTTTTATTGAGATTAATAAATAATAAAATTTCTTACTTTAGTAATAGATATTTATAAGAGATCGGGAATATTGATTAATTATCATGATTTATGAATTTATCCACGTGTTGAAATCGATATGGCGTGAAAGCGCGTGTCGTGTGTGATCAAATCAGTGGAATGGAGCGTGGGGTTAAAAGATAGTTTTGTCTTTTCTTTTCGTGATGCGTGTAAAGCACAACCCACTATGGCGCGTCGATATCACTGAAAAGTTTCCGACATTCTCTTCCCACAAATTCCTTCTTTTTGACCTTCTTACGTGTCGCATTCTTATTCGTTTATTTACATTCTTTTCCAAACTTATTCACATTATTTTTTATTTAAAGCCAAATTATATATATATAAAAGAAAAACCCTTAAAAACTATTATTTATTTCAAAATTCTCTTTTTAAAAAATTACTTTTTAGAGTAAAATTAAACGAAAAATAAAAATACAATGGTTTCTAATAATTTTTTATAATATAAAAATGTCTAAAAGTAATATTGTAGTAATATTGCCATTTTTGAAAAATATGAATATTTTCTAAATAAATAGAAAAACTCAAAACTATTTTTTACAATTTCATTCATTCTATTATTTACTTTTTAAAAAAAATACTTCTTGCGTGTTTTATTTTACTATATGTACTTTTAAATCATTTAATTTAATTCTCATATTAAATTTAGTTTTCTTAAATTATATTCTAAAAAACTTAAATTTAGGCCTTTAAAATCACCTAAAATCATTTTAATTCAGAGGGCTAAATGATTTGTTTTTATTAATTTTTATATGATTTCTTTACATTAATTTTATTCATCTCATAAATTTAACCCAATAGAGATAAATTAAGTTTAAAAAAAAAAAAAAAAAAAAAAAAAGCACTGAAGCCAAGAAAATAAATTTCAGGTGCATTGTTTTTTTTGCCAAAATCAGTGGCTTTTGCTTTTGGTGTTACCCAACCTCACAAACTTTAAGCTTTTGAGTTACCCATTCATTAATTACTTTTTAAATTTATGCCCTTTTTTTCCTTTCTTTTTTCGCTTCTCAAACCTAATAATCACATTCATCATTTATGAAATCAACGTTTAATGTCAATCATTTTCAAAAACCAAATTTTATGACCAATTTTTTTTCTTTTTTTATTTTCAATGCAAATAATTTCAACCATATTAAATTACCCATTTAAGCACGAATCGAGGTTGGAGCTAGAATCCAGTATGGAACCGGCTCTAATAAGATTGAAAATTCTCGTTTAGACAAAAAAACCAAAGAGGGAGAAGAAAAAAGATCTTTCAATTAGCTAAAAGAAGTTAGTAGCTGAGATTATATTCTCTATTATGTATTGAAAGGTATAAAACTACCGTATTATATATTTATTTACTTAATAAATAAATAAAAATTAAGGGTTCGAAAATATATTGTACTATATAAATTTTAATTTTTAGAAATAATGTTAAAACTAATATTATATTATACTCTGAAATATTATTAAATTTATTAGAATGTTTTATATTTTTTAAATATAAATTAAATCAAAAATATAAATTATTTATTAAAATCTCTCTTCTTTTTTTTCTTTAATGTAAATATAAAATTGAATATGTTATTTTCCCTAATTAAAAATTTTAGACAACACTCATCACATATAAAAACTACTTAAAAGAGTTGTTCAACATGAAACCCTAATTTGCTTACAAAAATAAAATCTATGCTTAAGAAAGAAAAAAAAACATAAAAGTCTCTCATATTTAAGAATGGGAAGAAGATGAAGGATTAAAAGCAGTCCAACAATGGCGATCACTTCCTGCAACAACTCCCCAAAATGGCTTCCCCACGTTGTTGTTGTTAACCTTTTGTTGCCCGACCACGTTATAGCTCGACGATGCCTCGACGACATTATTTCTGAGCAACCGAGCTGGTTGCAATTGGTGAAGCTGAAGCTGTTGTGGCCGCCATTGATGTTGATCCAACCCTAAAAAGTTGGCCATCCCAATGGGATAACTTGAACCCTTGCCTCCTTCATTTTGTGTACTAATCGCATTGTAATTTAATCTCATTGCTTCTCCTGCTCAAAACTATGTTAGTTCATCTAGGTTTCCAAATATTTTATAGTTTAACTAGTTAAAACGTTGTAACGAGTATCAAACGCTCAAATCTCGATTGATTATCCTCGACAAATAAAGACAGGAATCCAATTCCTACAAAAATAAATAGATAATTTTGTGGGGATGAAAAATGAAATAAGAGGGGTGGACGAGGACATGAAGGCTTTTTCGTCTCTATCTTTCCCTATGACATCTCTAGGTGTAACGACTCTAAATTTTCTACTTAACCTAAGACTCATACTGTACACATATCATGAACCTACATAATTTCAACTAAGCCTACATCGATAAAATTAGAGATCCCACATCGATTGCAGAGGAGAACGAAGAATTAAGGGTGTTGAAACATTTTCCTAATAGACGCATTTTAAAGTCTTGAGGGAAAGCCCAAAGAAGACAATATATGCTAGCGGTGAGCTTGGGTCGTTACACTTCCAGACTTTCCCTCTATTTTTAAAACACGTTTGCTAGTGAGAGGTTTCCACACCATTATAAGGAATGCTTCGTTCTCCTCCCCAATCAATGTGGGATCTCTAATTTTATCGATTTAGGCTTAGTTGAAACTATGTAGGTTCATGATATGTGTACAGTACCGGTCTTAGATTAAATAGAAAATTTAGGGTCATGATAACTAGAGATGTCTACGGGGCGAGATAGAGACGAAAAAGCCTTCCCGTCCTTGTCCCCACCTCCTATTTCATTTTTTCATCCCTACAAAATTATCTATTTATTTTTATAGAAATCGGGTTCCGACAAAAAATCCACACTACACACATATATTCTTTTCAATTTTTTTAATGGATAATTTTATTTTTCCTAAAAAAAATATATAAAACATCTTAATAAATTGAGCTAAAAAGTTGGTATAAAAAGTGAAAAACATCCTAAAATTAAAATAATAATAATAATAATAAAATAAAAATGATGATTCAATAAAAGAATTAAGCTTCGTCATGAGTTGATATGATTACCAGCTGCAGCAGTAGTAGAAGATTGGCATGGGGAGTTAACCGGAGATTTGGACGCACTTTTGGTTCTTTTATTATTATTCCGGCGGTAGCCACCACCTACCGGGACGCTTCTCAGAGCGCCGCCTCTGGTCCAGTACCGGCGGCAGGTCTTACAGAAGTGGCGGGGTTGAGACAGGCTATAGTTGTTGAAGTAACAAAACTTGGTGTTTCTTGATTCACATCTCGGGCACTTCAACCGTGCCGGATCCGTCATCGACTCAGGCCGCCCTTGTGGCAGCGCCGGCGGCGGCGACACCGTCTGAAAACCAAAATAGTCTTCAATTAATAAAATTTTGAAGGGAAGAAATTAAGAAATGAAATGGTTACCTGTTCTTCAAAATTTGATGGGATGATGGATGGAAATGCCATTGTTCTTCAAAAAAATTGATGGGTTTTTTAGAGAGAGAGAAAGAGGGTGAGAGGGGAGAGAGAAAATTTCATTACATTTTAGGGTTTTAATGAAAAATTAATTATATGAACTAAATTAAAAAAAAAAATTAAAATAGACAAAAAAAATAATTTAACTCAAAATTAAAGTGCTTCAAAAGCTGAGATGGACCCGACCAAATGAACCTTTATCACACATGGGTCATGTGGATGTTTTTTTTCCATATAATAATAATAATAATAGTAATAATTGTTCAATAGACTAATTATTGTAAGGAATAATATTTCATGGATCTTTGTTTCATCAAAGAGAATCAAACATTCTATTTTCTTTAATTTATGCAATTTTTTAACTATAAAATATTTAGTTTATGATTACCAAATTATCATAAACTTAATTTACCATTCTAGGACTATGGAAATTACGAAATTATCTCTTAAAAATGTTACGATGTAAATTTAATTTACAATTTTAGACTATGGAAATTACTAAATTATCCCTTGAAATATTATCGTGTAAACTTAATTTACAATTCTAGACTATGAAAATTACTAAAGCATCCCTTGAAATGTTACCGTGTAAACTTAATTTACAATTCTAGACTATGAAAATTACGAAATTATCCCTTGAAATGTTACTATGTAAAATTAATTTACAATTCTAGACTATAAAAATTACTAAATTATCCCAGGTAAACTTAATTTGCAATTGAAAACTAAGGAAATTACTGAATTATCCTTGAAATGCATTGCAATAGCGCTTATATCACAAAGGATATGAATATGTTTTTTTCTTTTTAGTATTATATAATTTAGAAGAAAAATTAATTTGCGCCACATGAAATTCTAAATATATATATTTTTCAATTTTTGCATGGACATATTATGAAAAGCTGTTTGTCGTACGTTCCACCACATGGGCACCGCCATACATGAAATAATAATAATAATAATAATAATATATAAGAATAAATATACATACATGATACATAGATGTATGTATGTATCATGTATGTATCATGTATATTATATTTTGAGTTTTTATTTATATATGAAACGTAAATTATTGAATATTTGTTTAATATCGTTTTAGGAAATAGAATCGATTTAATTGCATCAATTTTTATCTTAAAAAATTAGACCCTTAAATATAGACAATTATTATAATTTCTACCGAATAATTAAAAGAAAAAATCATTTTCTCACCAAATTAAATATAATTAAGGTGGTTTTTTGTGAAATTAAGAATTTAAGGTAAAATTTAATACAATTAGTTGTCTAAAAATGTTTAAACCTATTGGATATTATAAAAATGTTTAAACCAATTTTTTTAATTTTTTTTAATTAGCTTCGGA